TCCTTCTAGACTTGAATTACAGAAACCTTCTAGATCCCTGCCACACCACCAAATCCTTAAAAGTTCTAAACTTACATTTTTATATCTTTCGAGTAGGATCTGTGCCTTTTGTTGTCTTTCGCCTTCTTCATTATTAGAGATTTTTTCCAGGGATCTAAGGTATAATCCTATTTTCTGATCGAACCGTTCGACATCACATTCATTTAAAAGGTCTAAAATGTTCCATTTGGAAGACACACGAACGAAATATTCAAGAATCTGTTAAACATGAATCGAGAGAAAAACAGAATTATCATTATATTAAACTCCGCGAGAAAATCGATAAACTGTATTCAAACTCTCGCGCCTCTTCACTTTCTTCATTAGACGTAGACATGATGTGTTTTTCTTCATTAGACGTAGACATGATGTGTTTTTCTGAGATTATTATCGTTATCAGATGAGAGACGAGCTTTATATGAGGTGCGGACAATAGAGATAATCATTTGTTTTGATTTTCGGTATCAAATTTCACGATTTTGATTGGTTAAAGATAACAGGTGACTATCAGATAATCTCGTGATGTGTTGACCCTACGTAGCTTCGTGTAATTTTTCTTTTACATTATCTCGATTTTTTATTATACAAATCGACTTTCATTTATAAATGAAAAATGTCAATCATATCAAAATTTATACGTACGTATGAATATAATAAAAACTCATTTTTCAAAAAGAGTATTATTGATTTTAACCCTAGGTACCCGTATCAGGCAAGGGACATTTCCCCTTACAGGGGTTTAGGGACCTCGATACGATTGGTCCAAATTATGCCTCTGATGCATGTAAATATAAAAAAGTCGCATAATTTTATATATCACTATTATTTCGCATAATTTTGTGAATAGGTGAGCATGTTTGCGCTTTTTTTGATTACTTTTGGACTTTTCACTGTCCGTGTCATTTAATATTCTTGTAGCCTCATCCTCTCTTTTTTTATTTTTAAAATACATGCAATACAAATTGCAAAACGATTATATTCATTAGACTTCTCTTTAAAACTTCATTAAAATTCTGTTAAACGGTGTCTTTTGATTTTTTTGTTCGTATCATATTCAGTAAATTTAATGAACTAAATTCTGAAATATTGCTAATACATATTTTTACATAATATATATATCAAATCGATTCTTAAATATTTCACCCGAATAATCTGAAAATACGGTCAAAAAAAGATAATTATTGAATGTGATATAATACCAGAATTAAAGTCTACGTATAAGCGACGCCAAATAAAAAAACATGTAATGTTTTAGTTTTAGCTTATGAGATTCAATTTCTATTTAATGCTACATAAATAATATAAAACATTGCAAAGAATACTAAACATTATGAAAGCTAGGCGTTTGTTACAAAGGTACTGCATCTTTTTGTGTCAGTAATTGTTTATGATATAATATCAATTCTATGTAATATTTACTGTATATCGATATATTTTCTTCGAATTATATTATTATGACGTAAGTGTTGAAATTCCGAGTAATCATTATTTATTCATAAGTTGTACAAAGAAAGATTTGCATGTTACACCTGATCTTAAATTTTGATTATTTTTGTGTTACCTTGTGTACAAACACCCCGTGTACAAAATAGTAATTTCACATGATATCGTGATCTGCAGATGTTGCTGTACGTATGACGAAAAGGTTGGCCGAGTTCAAGGCTAAAAGCTGAACCTGCGGGATGAATAGAAGTCTAAAAGGC